TCGTTGTCAACTTATGCGCCTGATAAATGGCTTTCGAGCAGGGATAAAATTAAACAACATCGGCCAACATGTGTTCGGAAAACTGGAACCACGAGTTAAGTGAGTGAGTAAGTAAGCAAGTAAGTAGACGGTGTAAATAACTTTGGCTAATAGACGCGTTTGATGGCATTTATTTCGGAAATTGGGACACATCATGGCAACGTGAAATCCCCAGAAGCGAATTGGTAGATACCAATCAAACATTTTCAGCATCCACTTTCCAGAATGCTCCCAAGTACAGATGCTCATAACTAATAATAAATCTTTCAGTTTTCCGGGTGTTTTTTTGTTGTTTCTCTCTGATAGTTTACAGCGGATTTCGCAGGTATTTTAAGGACAAAAAACCCATATGGGCAAAACCTGACTTCTCGAGCTGCAGGGTGTCACAAGATTAACTTTATCTTTGGTTTTTTAGGGCAATTTAAATTGCATCCCCTTTGAAGAGCCATAACTTTTTCATGCTTGCCTGCAGCACAGTAGTAGCAAGAAAATCATTTCCTCTAACATTTCTGCGTAAAAAACATATTCTAATCAAAAGTTGCTACGAAAAACCGTTTCCGAGGGATTTTGATTTAAAATAATCGGAACGTGTGTTGTAAATAAAATAAAACTATTTTATAAACTACCTTCTTTTATAACTAAAGTTTGCCAGTTTTTTCAAATATTTGCAAAATATTACTATTTAACGGAACGTGAGATTCGTATTTTGGACAAGTTTAAAATCACCTTTTGAAAAAAACACGTGCGTCGACTACTTTAAACCAAAATATCTCCAAAACGGTTGTTCGCAGCCACTTTTGGTAAGAATCCGGTTTTTATGTAAAAATAATAGAGAAATAAATTTTCTGGCTAACCAATCTGACACGTACGAAAGTTATGACTCTTTAAAGGGGAAAAAAATTGTAGATAGCGCTCTCTACATGCGGCAGCAGCACAACGTTCAAATGTAAGTTTCTCATGTTAAAAAACCTCTAGATACCAAGTTTCGTTCGAAAATCGACAGCATATACAGGGTGATTCAACATTGGCGTCATTCCTTTTAAGGGGTGATAGAGGCTCCCTTGGGGAGTACGAGAAAAATATTCAAAATTTTCTAGAAGATATTAACAGTTGAAGATCGAATTTCAACGTTGTTATTAAGCATTATTTTGAAATTGTTCCATGTTTAATTGGTAGCATATTGGAATACTTAAGCATTCAAAAAGAAAAATTACCATCTTTGCTTCAAATTACGAAAAATTTTTATATCAAAAAAGTTCTCGTCTACAATTTTTTGATGAAAAGGCACAGCGGCAATGATGTTTTTGTCATCTACAGGTAGTTACAGGTAGGCAGCTTTGTCAATAATAATTGACACTTGTATTTTATTTGATCAATGAGACATAACCTTTAACAGGTGGTTTTGGATGACAGTTGTCATTTGCCCCAAAAGCAAGATGTTTTTTGTCATTAACAGATAGTTACAGGTGGATAGCCCTTGTCAATAATAACAATAATTTGTCAGACTGTGACTTATTTCGAAGCCACACTTTCACGAATTTGCGGATATGCGCTTAGTTCAATTAATTTCTTTTACTATTTTTTTCTGTACTCCTATAACAGCGCCAGACAACACCTCCAGAGGAATGACGCCAATTTTCAATCACCCTGTATATAAAAAATTACTTAGAAACAAAGCGAATTTTTCAACACCCAGTAGCTCGATAAGCAGACTTTTTGAAAAAACACCCGGTATACTAATTGATGTCAACAACCTCAAAATTGCAAAAAATGATAGAAAGCAAAACACTATTCCACCTTTATAGACTTCAAACACCCTGTATATTACAATTACTCCATGTTTTAAGTACATACCTGAAAAATTTACAGAGCCTGATTTATCAAGAGCCATTCGATTCTATCACCGACTGCGTCATCGACCAGATGTTTAATATAGTTTGAGAAAAAAAATAAAACGAAGGGTCAAATTTTTAATTCAATTTCAGACACACACAGGCATTCGAATTACCCGAGCTCGATAGGCGTACAAAAGGGCCTTTATGCGCTACCCGGCATACGGACGAAACTCCAATAAAATCTTAACTCTTTTCTCTCGTTTGTAAAGCCTTTATGTTTGTACAAGTGTGTTTTCAGAATATGTGGACATGGGTTCGACGATTCTAATTCTAAAATCCCGCGATTTTATTTAAAAGCACGTCCACGCTTCAATGATGGCATGCTTTTTGTATGGGTACTTTGATGAAGGAGCTTTTTTTTTCGAAATAAAATTGAATTACAACAATACCTCGTACACGTCGCGCCTTGAATACGGGCCAATGATTTTGTTTTACGCTGTATTTGAATATAATATGAGAAGGATCTTGATTCAATTTTGAACGATGCTTCCGGTTTCCACCAATAGAATGAATGGCTTTTCTTGCTTGGAAGCATTTCAGTTTGCTTATACTTTATGCAATTTATTTCGTCACTGAGATAATTCTTTAACTCAAATGTTCGTTGGTCCTTCGAACGGGATGGAAAATTTTATTTCTTTTCAAAAATTATCTGTTCTTAAGTAAACTGATGATTCCAGTCCATCCTGCCAAAAAAGTTTGCAAGTTGAAAATTACCATCCCGTTCGAAGGACCAAAGTAACTTTGACTATCGACCTTTGACGACTTTGATTCACCTGACTCTCTTTTAAGAAACTTGCCAACGTTTCTTTCGTTCTTCGGACGAGATGGAAATTTTTAAATTGCCAAATTTGTTAGCAAAACAGACTGACGATAACTGGCATCATCACTTGGTTTAAACTGAAAAGTTTGCATTTTGAAAATTTCCATCTCGTTCGAAGGACCAAACACAGCTTTGAGCTGATTGTAAGCATTTTCAAGTGTTCTTGTAAGTTTTGTCCACTAAAAGCTCTAACTCTGGTTTCTAGCCAAACGGCTAAACGTTCTTCCGTTCCACCAGGAGAATGAAATTTTCAAATTGCAAAAGTTTATGGAAATAATCAGTTAATTCGCTTTCAAGTGTCTTATTTTGTTGATTCTCTGAATAGCACTCGCTTAACTAACTTACTTTGCTCGGTCGAATACGATGCGAAATTTCAAACTTAAAACTATTTTGCAAAAATCGACTAAAATTTCCAATTTAATAATTTTTTTCACTTTCTGATTTTATTAGTTTACACAATCACTCGCTCTTAAATCCACTTCAAAAGGGATGGAAAATTTCAGATTGCAAACTTTTCTCCCAGAACGCACTGAAATCAGCAGGTGAAAAACCTTTTCAATTTCAAATTTATATCCCGTTCGAAGGACCATAGGAACTTTGACTATTTCGTCGTTAAGTGCTCTTGAAAATGTTTCATTCTTCTCTCAAGCAACTTTCCAAAATTTTTTGTGTTGTGATTGAGTTAACTAATAAAATGAGAAAGTGAAAAAAAACTTAAATTGGAGATTTTTTTACCTTAACCACTCGCTCTTAATCAACTTCAAATTGCAAACTTCTTTGCCAAAATGAACTGGAATCAGCAAGGCAAAGACGTTGACAACTTGAAATTTCCCATCCCGTTCAAAGGACCAAAGAAAGGCAATTTGGTTATTAAGAGTTCTTGCAAATGTCAATCGCCTTCTTTTTAACCCCCTCTCCCAAACAGATTGCCTAACTTTTATGCCTCTTCGAACAGGATGGATTCAATTTGAAGGTGCAAACTCTTTTGCAAAAATTTCGGCAGAATTTCACTTTATGATTTTATTAGCTCAATCAACAAGTCGCACTTGGAAGGAACTGATAAACTTTCTTCGGTCCTTCCAACGGGATAAGAAATTTCAAATTGCAAGGTTTTTGCACCGATAAATCCAGTCCATTGTGGCGAAAAAATTAGCAATTTGAAATTTCCCATGGCGTTCGAAGGTTAAGGCTGCGTTGTATGAATTAAATTGCCGAACAATTTTTGGTCCTTCAAACCGGCTGGCAATTTTCAAAAAATGCCCACATTCCTCGTAAAATTAACTCAAATTTTTGGATTTACCGCGACATATTTAAATAGACTTTAACCGTTTGATTTTCTAGTGTAGTTCTCACCATGTGGTTAGTGGAAGTTTTAGTAGGTATATTTGCCAAAGAAGCCGCTCCGCGCCCATCAACATACAATGTTTTCTATGGGTTTTATTTGCATTCCGCTGACACAAAAGCCATAGACTTATGTGCATAAGCAATTCGAACAATAATTAGTTTTAAATTTAGCAATAAAATCTTCAAGATTCTTATGAGAGAGAAAACCCATAAAACCGTTTCTGCAAAATCGGTTTTATTGTCCACTTTTCGACTTTATTGGCGTTTCGATTGTTAACTGTGTGCTGTCGCTTTTAACGTTTTACCAAGAAGCCGCATTTCTAATCGGCCACATCGAGTGTGACACACACAAAGGATTATAGCAAATATAAAAATTGAATTAAGCAAATAATGCGATGGTCTAAATTAACGCTGATTATCGGAATAAAACCTTTTTAATAAAGTGCCGGGCCAGTGGCAATAAAGTCAAATTGATGTGTTTTTAAAGTTGGGCACATCACGAAGAGATGTGGTAAAAAATTTAAATAATAAATTGGGAGTCAGTTTAAGCGAATTAAATCAAATATGTCACAGGCAATTTAAGTCAATTTAGCCGGTTTTTGTGACGGTAGTAAAACAGCGCATTCTTCTCGCTAAATGGAACTTTATTCGGTTTGTTAAGAAAAATCATTGTTTACCTCGTTAAATAAATCTTTTGTATCAATTTAAAGTGATGCAACCACAATAGACGAGGGAATTTACTAGTTGATGTTGTGATGTTTTAACAGTTTTACATTCCTTCTGTACCGAACTTCTGTGTTTGACTTTTACTATTCGATTTATCACTGTCACTGATCAGCTTTTTACAAAATAACAATAAAACGGCGAGAAAATTAACATTTAATTTCTTATTTTCTACTTACCGCTAAGAGGAGATTCCATAGGCGGCGGAGATGAACTTTCAGTCTTGTACAATAAGGAAAACCCCGCACTTCCAGAGAAAAGACCCTGCAAATGAAAACTGGACCTTAACGCGAGAAGCCAATACAAAAATCCACATTTAAAGGAAATCAAGCACTATTAAAACCTTGAAGTCCCGCCAGTCATGCCGAAAGGCCGATTTGAAGAGCCGCAAAGTTTACACGGCTTCCCTGTATTAGCAGCCTCTACAAATAACAAACGCGCTAATGGCTTTTTAAATACCATTCACAAGAACAAGATGTAAAATGTAGTAAAATACGCGTTTTACCCAAGAAAATTAACTGAACAGAACTACAACAGGGAGTTTTCGTGTGGATGATCGATTGCGGAACGTAAAATGCATGCTAGAATGGGACCGAAACCAAACAAAACTCCTTGCTACAATTATCTATAATAAGTGGCAATTTTATAGAAAACATCAAAAGCGAAAGAGTGTGAGAATAGTGAATTTCAGAAATTAGTTTCTGTGTTCAACCGCGGACGACACAATAAAATTGTCTGGGATTTTCGGAAAAAAACCATCATCAGGCCTGAATTTGATCGAGTGTCTAATTTGGGAAGTTCAAACATTCAGAGTTGTTCCAAAAGTCGATTTAAAACCCTCAGAAGCAGCGCCTCTAATACAAATGTTCTCCCCTCGTAGATAGAGTGCAGTCGGCCAGATGCATACTCAACTTCATCCTTAGGGGGTGGGACTGTTAAAACAACAGAGCTTCTGATTTATGTACAGTTTTAAGCTGACTTTGGAAAACTCTTTCCGGTTAGCGCAATACTTACCTAACTTACCATTTGTGTTAGTTTAAAGCACAGCAAAGCCAGAGCTAGAGAAAAACACCATAAAGCAAAGAAGCACTTAATACGAAAGGAAAATTTGAGGAAAAAGGGCCCTACCGTATGTCGTCCGTCTTCTGACCTGTCCCCGTCGTTCTTACTCCTGTAGCCATCCTCACTGAAGGAATATTCTCCACAATCCCCAAACCCGTTGGCCAAACCGCCAAACTCCTTCTCCTTCTTCACGTTCAAGTTTAGCGGGAAATGTTGGCCCAATTTCGCCTCATGGCCGAAATTCGTGTTCCTTAAGCTGCTGGGGATGTGACTTTGAGGTAGTTTCTGCCCCATGGAGGAGAAATGACTAGGAGGTGTTCCTTGAGCATAGGAGGCGCTTCGGGACGATTCGTGCGCATTCTTTGGCGACAGAGGAGTCGAAGGAGGAGTGGGCGGCTCACCCAGAGATGTTGAGTTCCGTTGCGACGAACCGAGGGAGAGATTTTCGAAAATTTTCCCTGCAAACAAACAATAAACGTGAATGAACAACATACGCCCACATCACGTGCGGATTGCCTGAAATCATTATGCATATCAACAATAGCATTACAAAAATTCGTTATAAATTATTTTCGGTCGCCAAGCCAGTAAATATCTCGTATGCTTGTGTTAAAATGGGTGTGGTGACTTCGGTAAAAATCCTAGTGGTAGTTAAATGAGTCAAGCTAGACAATAATATAAACGAGCTACAAGAGTTATTTCAGGTTTCGTATGGCTACCTTAAACACATTTATTAAAGTGACCAAATGAACCGGAGAGTTTTAGTCGCACGACCTCAATTCTTCCGGCATTTGTCTGCCGCACTCAGAAAAATACCGGCCGGTTTTGCATAAAACAACGGTTTACTCGGCTGATCGCAACAGGCGTATATAAAAGTTGAAAAAATTTTTAATTGTCAGCCAAAAACTCGGATATTTGCGAAAACCGCAATCGGAAATATGGCAACCATGTTTTCCCCATTAACAGTATGTAAGTACTGGTTGCTTATGCGTAAATCGACATCGGTAACTGGTGAAGATCCAGCCAGATAGAAATATAAAAAAATTGGATAATTATCTAGATCCTTTGAGTGCGCGGTTCAAAATACGCTCATTTTGTAGAAAATCCCTTTAACAGCACATTTTTTTGGTGGTGTTTTTGGCAAAATTGTGGTTTTCGAACAGTTTTCACTCATTGAAGTTTACTGCATTTCCGATTTCAAATGTTGAAAATTCAGTTCTAAAAGCAATTCAAAACAAATTTAATTTCGCTCTCATAAAAAAAACTCTGTAGATTACGCGCATTTTAAGCATGTCTGACACTGTTATACTTTTCAAGCTTTGAAGAGCACAGTCAAAAACCTAACCACAAATAACCTGTAACTCTCTCTGGAGGCTTGGTTGCCACTGCATACATTTTCCTTAAGAACAAACGTATACAATCGGCATTGTTCCAAGTCAAGTAGAATTGTTGCTTGCCAAATGTACATTTTTTACCATAACAGCCAAAAATTACCCATTTATTGATAAGATGAACGCAACCAATGGGCAAATGCTGATCTTAGGAACGAAAAGTTAAAATAATTCGAATTATTCGCTTATGGAAAGACAACGAAACACGCCTGAATCACTCTTCGATTATTCCCATCATAGCAACCACATTTTGCAATAAGAGAAACACTTTTTTGCTTCTTCTAACGCCGACAAGAACCGAAAGATACAAAAACTGACAAAGCAAACGAATAAAAATGACAAATCACCAAAACAGCCTTTAAATTGAAAAACTCCTTCTGGCGTCCATACGTTATTCAATATTCAAATATTTAATTTATGTGGTTCGCGTTCTCTTCGCCTTCCTCGAACTAAGCCATTGAGATCATCTTCCCGTATTGTTTATGGTAGAATTGATGATATTTCCCATCAGTTCGCTTTCATTAATTGACTGGCGGTTTTTCATGGCAAAAACCCCCCGAGAATTGGGAACAACGTGACAATAAACTGGTAATAAGTGAAAACCTTGAGCAATGCAGGTGCGTTTTTTTTAGGTGATTAAAGCCCGATATTCTAGGACAAATCAAGAAAAAAATCTAAGGCAAAACACACCAACAAAACATAATCACTATGTATGCATATAACACACGCGTCCTGTTGAGGACCTTCGAACAACGTTTTGCCATCGAAAATATTAATGAATAATCAATTTTTTTTGCATCAAAATATTTAAATTAAAAATAAATAACCTGCATTATTGCAAAGCTGTTCAATTTTCCAAAGTAGGATAGTTTGACGTTGAATGTTTAACGAAAAAAAAATAGCGTCTACTTATTAAATAATGTTGCTACATTTTAATCAATAATATGTGGCCTCAATTTATTTTGTATAATAAGGTTTTTTCGTGGCGAAACTTATACAGAGTGATCCAAGAGGAAATTGGTAGATTTTGTGTGCTGTTAAAACCAACTTTTGAAACTCCCAAACAGGAAATTTGGTAGCGGAAAACTTTGAAAACAATCTTCGAAAGCCAACATTGAATAAACTGCAGTTGCCACCAACCAAGTTTTAAAGCCCACAACTCCCAAATTAATGAAGTTGGCCACTGGAAACTTATTCGGCTGGCAAACAAAACTTCACTTTGCACCCTCAAAAAGTTTGAATAAAATGCAGCAGCAGGAAGTTGGATAAAAAAATTCCCAAAACTACCGCTTCGCAAACTACAATTGAAAGAACTTTGATCTAAAAATCGCCAACCTCCAACTCTCTCAAAGGGCGGAATGTGACCCAGTTGAAACTTCTCATTATAATTGGTTCATCTGGAAGAATGCAGGAATAATTATTTCTCTGAATCACGCTGTAAACTCATCTGGGAAACTTTCAAAGCACTTGGTATAAATCCAGTTTAATTCTTGCAGCAATTTGAGTTAATTAAAACGAACTCGGTGGGTGTCGATCACAACATTTTTCTGTTTGTATTCCAATATTAAAGCCCACGTTAATATGTCGATGGGAATTTTGGGTTTATTTAAATTTTGCCTCTTAATTAACTGAGCAAACAAACAATTTGAGTAAATTGCCGAAAATAAGAGCAAAATTTCGTTAGCACGCTGGGCCAGTTTCGCCTGAATCACTCCGCTCACAGTCGTCCTCATCTCGGCATATTATCAGATCACAAGTAATTGCAAACAATTTATTAAATCTGCTCATCGACCTTTAAAACTGAATCTAACGTGAAAAAGACGGCAAGATTATTCTTCAATTAACAGCAGCTCTAAGCCAAGGTGTGTGTGTGTGTAATGGTCGAGTTTTTTTTTCGAGTTGATTTTTTCGAGCGCATTAACGATGATTATACAGGAAACATGGCTCTTAGATTTGGTATTTTCAGATTCCGAAATTGTGGGGAAAAACGCGACGATTATGTAAGCCGCAACCTGACTTTGAATGCAAAATACCGCTAGAATTTGATGATTTCTTCAAATTAACGCTCGCGGAGTTTACCACCGAAACACATTGTTGCTGATGGAATTTTACCCAATTTGCATTTACCCAGAGAAAACAATGGATTTGTTTCAATTCAAGAATCAACATCAAGTCGATAGACAGAACCCGGAATGCAAAGTGCGGTCATTAAATATTAAAACTCAATTTCTAATACATTCATAATAACAAATTTCAAGTGGGCTTATCGCTCGAGAATAATTTTGTTCATTTATTCAGAGAAACGGGTTCCCAAAACACAATGGGGCCCAGAAAAAATATACATTTTAATCATAATAGTAATAATGTTAGAATTAGGGAGGCCTGGTAGAGTCGGAACTGTTCCCATAACCGATAACTAGCCACACAGATTACTTGATAGTTGTTTCAACTTTACAGCATCTACGCTTCAAGGTGCCAGAGTTATCTATGTGTTGATGTACGTATAAAAACATCGAAGTCATCATACACCTGGTTTGGTTTTTTCATGATAGAGCCACGGAAACGTTGAAAAAATGTTAACTTATAGATGTAGATCTTGGTTTTGTTGATGGTTCCAGTCGAGGATAATGAACCTGAACCTGAATCTGAATCTGTTTCAAAGATATTTTCGAGATCGGTTTATAAAAGACGTGCTGAAAACCGTAAACGCAATGTTGTGAACCTCGGGAAAATAATTTCTGTTGAAACGAGGAAAAAATCCACTAATTTAGCGCGAACTGAACATGATTAAAAAAAATTAGCTTGCATGATAAAAAATTTTGGAAACCGCGTTTTTCTCTTCGGCAAATTTACCATTAACAATTTAAGGTTCTCCAAATTATTTTGATTCTGCCAAGCAAAATTGATTAAAGAGAAATATTTTTGAAAGCCAAACAAGTGCATGCTCAAACTCCTACAAATTGGGTTTTAAAATCTATTGAAAAACGCACATTTTGTTCATATTTCTTTAGAATCAGATGGACTTTGTGTGTAAGAAATTATATATAAGCGGCAAAAGTCGCAAGTGCGTAACGCTACTGAAAAAGTTTCTATGTAGAATTTTCTAAGCCGCACATAAGATTTTTTTATTTTCTCTAACAATTAATGCTATTTGTTTCAGGATGTCCTCACTTTTTCTGCGCAAATAAAGTTTTATATGTTTTTTATATTTCTCTATTTTTGACTAATTATCATTTTTGGGTAGCGTTTGCCCGAAACCCAATTCTTTTTTCAATTTCTGGGTTTCTGAAGAAACTGATTCTACTAAACAAAATTTCTTACATTGGAAAATATTTTTCATTTTGAAAAAGTTCATTCTCCATCTCTTGCAAGTTGAATTTTGAAATCGAATGAAAGTCGCACATTTTGTTCATATTTCCTTAACATCAAAACAACATTATAATTAAAAAAATATATATATGTAACAACTGTAAAAGTCGCAATTGGGAAAAAAATTATGTCGAATTTTCCGTGCAGCTCATACATTCCTTTTTGTGTTTCTCTAGCAATTATATTTTCTGATTGTTGACTGATTAGTGGTTTTTTTTTTCACTTTATCAACGATTTCCCGATTCGCACACGATTGAAAACTTCATCAGAAATGCCATTTGTCATTGACAATCGATTTAAAAATATATATATTGACTCTACCATACAAAATTTCTTAAATTGGAAAATATTTCTCTAAAATTTGTTTTTGTCTTTTTCATGTTGTCTGATTTTTGACTAATTAGTGTTTTTGTGTAGCGTAGTTTAATCACTTTATTACCCACCTCTCGATTATTTGGAGGTTTTATTTATTTAGAGGAAACGCGATTTTCCTTCTGCACACATGCCATTGACAATCTAAGCTTAAAAATCTGTTTTGATTCCACTAAACAAAAGGTCTTTAACTCAGGCAAATATTTTTTAATGTGGAAAAAATGCCTGATGGAAATGGGGGAAAGATCTACTGAAAAACGCACATTTTCATCATATTTTTTAGCTCTAAAACGACTTTCGAGTGTTAAAAAATATACAAACAGTAA